CCCAGTGATCTTTAATTATGGCCCTTCCTTAAGAACAGCAAAGCCTTCTGGGGAGATGTAAGGTTTATCACCATAGCAATTTAGAAAGTTAAAACTCACTTTAACTTTACTAGGATTTCTTATCTTAAGTAAATAGAAACTTTTGGACAGACTAGAAGTTAAAGGTCTCAGACAGTCTGAGGAATTCCTTGAAACAAAAGTTCACATAAGTTTTCTTTCCTTGTATTTCTTTTTTTTTAAATCTTAAATCTAACTTGACTCTTTGGATCTGAATTGGCCTGGCCTGCTTTCTGTCTAAACCTCCTAACTCCTGCACTTGAAACTACCTGTTTCTTCCCCAACTCCACTTTAGGAGTCTCTTCCTAATTATGTTATACAAAGTAGAGGAGTAGGATTCAAGGAAGTTAAAGAAATAGTTCCTACCCTCCAGACACAAGGGACTATTACACATATGCTGACATTATCTCATTTCAATACATTCTACTTATGATACTGATATTATGTTTATCAATGTTAAAGGAGTGGTGTCGCCCATAATGGCTATATGGAATGAGAGATGACTCAGCTAGAGAGAGATCAAGAAAGCCTTCCTGCACAAGATGGAACAGGAAGGATAGCAGGATTTAGACAGGTAATTTTTAGTGAGGGACGGGCTGGGGAAATGACATGTTTTTGGCATTTGTAAAATATTTTATAATTAGAATAAACAAAATGAAATAAAAGAAACAATACAGACTGGAAAACCACTTAGGAGCCTATAATACAATGTTTGCTTTTAAAACGATATGACACTCAACGAGAAAGGGCAGAAAAACAAGGTGTGGATTGAGAGGCAACATGAAAGTGGATCAAATAACTTATACATAGGTGCTGTCTCAGACGTGGCATCTGAGGCTCCAGAATTGGAAGTTAATGCCATCGAGTAAATTCATATATATATATTTTGAGACAGAATCTCACTGTGTTACCCAGGCTGGAGTACAGTCGTGTGATCTCAGCTCACTGAAACTTCTCCCTCCCGGGTTCAAGAGATTCTTGTGCCTCAGCCTCTTGAGTAGCTGGGACTACAGGCGTATGCCACCACACCTGGCTAGTAAATTCATTAATATCGAGTCATGAATATGTCACTGTAACTCTGCGTATGTATGTATAAATATTTATAAATCCATATTTTCTTTTTTTATAATAAATCCATATTTTCTAAGCATTTGAATAATTTGAAAAATAAGCAGGGAAAAGTGAAGGTTGTCTTACTTTACATATTCACTGAGTAAAATTATTAAGTAAGAGGATAATTTCTCATAATGTACTATGAACTAGGATCAGTTCACAAGGGAATATCCAAGGGAGAAAGTAGCTAATGTAGTCCTGGAGGCACAGATAGTAGTTTGTCCAAATCGCAGGAAATGATGCTCCATTGAGCTTTGTAGTTAACAGACAATTTATAGAGTTAGTTTATTTCTGTCCAGTGTATTTTCTTAAAGAAAGATTGAGAAACTAGAGTATAAAAGGTAGGCGTTTGCAACCCATTTATATGTGAAAGGTTGACATCTGATAAATGGACTGATTATCCCATGATGTTCTAGAAAACAAAATTAGGATATGTTGAGTAAATTTTAGCTCCTGAAAATTTTAGCTCCTGTAAATTTTAGCTCCCGAAAACATTCAACAAATCATTCAACTCAAATGGAAAAGATTCTCTCCTGAGTAGTGCTGAGTCTTTCTTCTCACATACTTAACGACATCCCTAAGTAATTTCTGCTTTGTATAGAAGATTGGACTAGATGACATTTTCCTGTTCCCTGTAAGATTTGTGATTCTGTCTTCTCATGAGAGGTGATGTGCATAATAAACGGAGCCCATTTTGTTTCACTCTGTTCTCAGAATCCCTCCAGTTACATTTCTGTTTTACTCACATTAACTTGGGTCTTGGTGGTAGTGCTGTCTAGCACAATGCCTGGATACAGTAGACACTCAAAACTACTTGCTGCTAGATTGATTTACTTTTATGAATACGCAGAGGAACAGAAGCACAATTATCGAATCTACCATTGCTTTCAACAGTAAACAGCCAGAGTCCTGACTCTGGCCAACAGATGTACAGAAATGAGAAGAGATGATGGGAGAACATCCAGCATAAAACCTTAGCAAACATGGGCTCTGTTATCTATGAGTAAAGTAGCCTGAAAGATTTATTAACTCTGGTTACCTTAATAGTTGATAGAATTGTTTTAGGTGGCCCAAATGAATGGGAGATTCATTGTATGACCTCTCTATTTTGTTCTTTGCAACGTGGCAATGAACATAATCTCTCCTTCCTCTATGCTTCTTTGATCTTATTAGTTCTCTTATGTTAGTGTCCAGTGTTTTACAGTTATCAGGTGAATTCATTTTTTTCATAGAATATTCAAATACTTTGTCCTGTCTACTTCTCAGAGTTCTAATCATTAACAATTACATACAACTGTAATATGCCAAGGTTCACAGGAAGAGATTTTAGAAAATAACCTATATTCCTTTAGCTCTATTTACTGGATAGCTCTTAGAAACTGTACGAAAAAGACTGTGTGTATGATAAGACTGTGTACATAGGTGTCTGGAATAAAAGTGAAGGTGGGCTAGACAGAGAACAATGTTCTCAAGGCTTGTCAGGAGACTGCTGCCAGACACCAGAGAAAATGGCTTCTGACTGCTTTTGTCGAACCAGCTGGCAGACATCCTTGTTCTGACCCCAGCTCCCACACGTCTCTTGCCAGCCTTACAGGGGCTTTAGCTTTCCAGGCAATTCTGTGGTAAATTCATTGCTGCCCTACTCACATCCATATAGATGTACCTAAATAATCCACATTCATTTTGATTCTTTAGTAAAATAGTGTATTTCCACAAATTTCTTAGAAAGACACATAATTTATAAAAGTAATGCATGATCTATCTGAAAACTTAGTGAATTGGAGACAAAGAAAATGAGGAAATAAAAAGTCTCTGTAGTTCTGCTGTCTAGAGTTAACCAGTGAAAACAATGACATAAACTCCAGGCTTTTTTCTATGCACAAAATTACACATTTGGGTTTTTAAAAAAATGGAACCACATAATCAATACAGTTTGGCAACTTGCTTTTTAAAAAGTTAACAATGAATCACAAACATTAAAGTTTGCATATATCTCAATTATGTAAAATTAACAAAGTTTATCTTTTGTTGGACACTTACATGGTCCTGAATTGTTATTATAATGAATGTACTTCTTATTAATAATATACTAATGATAAGTGTATTTCTTTTACAGAAATACTCTCCCTACATCTTTATTGGTAGCTAAATGATTAGTGTTTCTCCAAAGCCAGGCTATGGAGTAACCTTCCAAGGCTGGGGTTGGGGGTTAAAGGTGGGGATAGAGAGTAACGATGAGTACTTGGGCGGTGCCCTAGTGTTCTAGAGAGAAGCCTGGGTGCTGGGCTTCCTTAGAAGAGGACTCAATGCCTTTCCACATCTGGTGACCACACTGCTGTTTGTAGAGGAGAGAGGAGAATCAGAGAAGCAATGCACCACGTAACTCAAAACAAAAGGAGTTATACAAACAAAAGCTCAGAAGGGCATGGTGCATCTGGGGAAGGTGAGGCCTTCACAGTGGTTGTATCATAGGGGTTTGCAGGGGAGATGAGATTATAGAAGTAGACTTCAGAAGCATCATCAAGGAGCTAGCTGAGGAGTTTGTACTTCGTTGTGTAGACAATGAAGGTTTTGATAAAGAACATGTATTCTTAACCGTTGGTATCATCAGGCCAAATTAAGATGTTTCTTTCTAGTAATGGGTCTTGATTTTCTTTTTATTTGTGTTTTGGGCTTTGTTACATCATCTTTTAATGGTGGCACAATGGTCCAAGCCTCACTTTTCAGTTTTACCTTTTATTTATTTGTATATCCAAGATGTTTTCAAAGCCGTTCCACAATTGTTTGTTTGGAAGTCAAAGCTGGGATCAGTGATTTGCTTAGTTCTAACATGTAGCTGGGACAATTTATAGAACTGATTCCAAGAAATGATCTATTCAAAATCATGGTGGTCAGGAAATGGACACATGAAACCACAAAATACATTGCTACTGTTAAGTCAGAATGGTAGTTTACAGAGGAACGCCTTTCCTCAAAGTCCTTAGAAAATTCCGCTGCATACTTTTTGGAATGTTTTAGCCAAGTTAAGGCTAGGGTTAAGAGATGTAGAAAAGGGAGTTCAAAATTAAGGAGAGTGGTATCCTTGTAGTTACCAAGCAGAAAATCTAAAAGTAACATTTGTCACATACCATTTTCAAATTAGTATCAGGTGCTCTAAATTCATTTCTCAAAACTATTTGTTAGCTTATGTATAATTTATTTGTTTAAAAATACTTCTCTGAAATAAATTTGTGTTGGCTTTGCATTTACTGTTCTCAGAAGTGTGAGAAGATCAATTACTGATACCAATATTTGTTCTCCCTTACGCGATTCTCTTTATGCATAGTTGACTTACTATAGAAGTTATCATTTTTATAGTTCTAATGTCAGTTTGAATTCAAATGTCTACATCAGTGCTTCTGCTATCATTCATTTCTTTCTGTCAGTATTTTGCACAATAGCATCACTTTGTGGAAAGTGAAATGAATGTCATCTAGCCTAGCTAGTTAATTTTTAAAAATTATAGAATTCTTTGGGAGGCTGAGGCGGGTGGATCATGAGGTCAAGAGATCGAGACCATCCTGGTCAACATGGTGAAACCCCGTCTCTACTAAAACTACAAAAAAGTTAGCTGGGCGTGGTGGCACGCGCCTGTAATCCCAGCTACTCGGGAGGCTGAGGCAGGAGAATTACCTGAACCCAGGAGGTGGAGGTAGCAGTGAGCCGAGATTGCGCCATTGCACTCCAGCCTGGATAACAAGAGCGAAACTCCGTCTCAAAAAAAAAAAAAAAAATTATAGAATTGAAAAAAAGCCTGTATCAACTAATTACCCTGTTTTCTTCTTTTCTAGGTGACAATGGCCAACATCGGAATAAATGGAAATCATTCTCTGGAAACCTGTGAAACAACGCTTTTTGCTCTCCGCATGGCAACATGGAATCAAATCTTAGATCCTTGGGTATACATTCTTCTACGGAAGGCTGTCCTTAAGAATCTCTACAAGCTTGCCAGTCGCTGCTGTGGGGTGCATGTCATCAGCTTACACATTTGGGAGCTTAGCTCCATTAAAAATTCCTTAAAGGTTGCTGCTATTTCTGAGTCACCAATTACAGAGAAATCAGTAAGCATCTAGTTTAATAGGACAGTAAGTCAGTGTACGGCTAGAACAAAATTAAGAAATGTTTGGCAATATTTCAGCTAGTTAAATACCCGCAGCCTAACTGAAAAATTCAGAACTCATGATACAGTTTGAAGATACTTTTGCCAGATTCAGGTTTTGAAATTTGTCAAATAAACAGTACAATTGCACATTTTTCACTGTTTTTTGCCAATGGGAGGTAGACACAATGAAATGCTGCCATGGGAAAGCAATTTGAGCTTATCTGTCTAATTTATGCTTTGAGTGAACCATCTGTTGAGGTCTAATGCCTTTACTTGGCCTGTTTGCCAGAGAACATCTTAATGCATCTGCACAATGAAATGGTTCTTTTGAGATTACCGCTCATAGCTATTCCTTATATACTAGGCCTCATTTTTTGATCTGGCCTATTTTGCCTCTATTATGTATCCTCAGTTAATACATGCATAGACACCTGGAATTCATGATGGTTTATTATAACAACCTCTGCATATTCCAGTCCTGGCTGACAGGTTGTCTGACCTTGCAATCCTGTCTAGAAGGGGCTCATTCTTGTCATATTTGCCAAGTATGACTGCTTACATTTATTACTGTGAAGGTAGATTGTTGGAAGTGTTTTTCTTGATGTCATAGATAGCAATTTTCAAATAATCATTTTTTTCCTCTAAAAATGTTAGTGCATGCTTGCCCAATAAATAATTTTTAGAGAAACCAAGGCTCTGTCTCAGCACATAGATGGGTAACTTGCATAACAGCAGTTTGAAAAGTCTATCATGTACAGTACAAACAGAAGCTCTTTGCCAATGATAGGTGCAAAGAACATTGGCAAAAGGTGCTTTACCTTGAGCCATTATTTGTGTCAGAGAACAAAAGAAACATAATCAATATATAATATTTAAAGACTATCTGCAGCTAGTGTGTTTCTTCTTTACACATGTATATACACAGAGGCTGAGGCAGGAGAATTGTTTGAATCTAGGAGGCAGAGGTTGCAGTGAGCTGAGATTGTACCACTGCACTCCTGCTTGGGTGACAGAGTGAGACTCTTTTTATCAAAAGAAAATTCTGTTGATAGCAGGTTGATTAAATTTGTAAGACAGCATATTCCAAAGCCTGTGCTACCAGTACCAAGAGGGGGAGATTGTTTGAGACTTTTTCTTGCTTGTTTGTATAATTCAACCAAAAGAATTTCAATACTCTTTCAAATTGTCCTAAGTCTATCAGAAATTAGGGTAGGTAGTCCTGCTTTATAATAGGGAAATTCATTTCTGTATGAGTTCTTTGCTTTAATTAACTTGGATCCATTTAAAAGTTATTCCTCCCTGTTAGGCTGATTTCAGATTCTCTAGGAAATCTGTGTAATTCAATGAGACTTAAATTATTACACTCATAAATATCTGCTTTTGATTGGTCATTTACATTGGAAGTCATTGTTAACTTTTAGTGAGTTTTGGTAAATTCCCATCAGTAAATTAAAAGGAATTAGGCAAACAGCCTCACTGAAGATCTAAAGGCAGTATTTTTTCAGTAAGTTTAAAGAAGAGAAACACAAACATATTGGCACATGATATTCTTAAGGCTAGTAAATAATTAATAAAACAAATTTAGGTTATTCTCATTTATAGAGCATATAGTAGATGTTCGACAAATACTTTCCAGGTTGAATTACAGACAAGAGTTCCTTGGTCTGTAAATTCTGTAAAAATAAACACAGGGTCTTAAAGTTCTGTTCAGTTTTAATTTAAACTGATGGTTATGGTTATTGTGGTATATATGAGTGGATGTATGTATATACATGTGTGAATATGTGTGTGATATATATTTCTATTGCACATATGCTTTAAAAAAGCTGTTGCAATTAGTGAGTGTTATTACATTACATAAATGCTCTCATTTGTTTCAAGAAATCTTAAAGCTCAGAAGACCTTTCAGATGGTTTATTTGCTTTCAGAGGAGATATTTATTTCATACAATTATATAATAGTATTGATGTCATGTGAACAGAGATGTAAGGAATCATTTTCTATCCTTCCTCATCATGCTAGGTCCCATGCTTCAGTGAATCTTTCCGTGTATTTGGACTGGGGAGAGTCATGGAGAGGAAACTCTCATTCAGGGGCTCCAGGCCCCTTCTCCTTGAGGCTTCTAAATAAATGGCAGAATTCTTGTTCTATTGCCATGATGTCACCCTGGCCATGTTCACTGCCTTGAAAAGATCTTGCAACATGACCATGTGTGAGAATGTATGAGTGTGCAAGGCTCTGAGGAGTAAGAGAGGAATGTGTGTATCCTAGGAGGATTATCTATGTTATCTGAGCATAGGTTTGGGCAGCCAAATTGGTCTTAAAAATGATGTTAAACCCAAGATGTAGACATCAAAAATTGAAAAGAAAAAAAGCATGTGTGTTTTCATTGTTTTAAGTTTTTCTTCTGAGGAAAAGAAAATTAAATTAAAAATGCAACACTGTGCATATCTGACTTCAGACTTTTATTTCTGTTATTAGATGTGTTGCATGTAGCTTTGCAATTTACTGTATGATGAATAATAGACTGGGACATCTACCAATAACTTTCATACAAATGTTCAAAATAGAAGTATATTTGTTCAGGTTTCTGGAAGGAAATAAATAGTAAAATAAATAGTACAAATAGTTTCAATAAATTTACCAATTTGAGTGTTTTTGGTTCTATTTCAAAACTCATAACTAATCTTCAGAGTAACTGAATTTCCCCTTGAACTGGGTAAGGCATTATCCAAACAACTTTACATACTATTTAAACATGATTTCTGGGTAATTTTATTACTCTGGGCAAATAACGTAAACATGTCAGGATTTTTACAAGTCCTAGCGATTTTTTTTTTTTAAAGATGAGATCAAAGCCAAAACATCACACATAGGTTTTTCTGACTATGAATACAAAGACAGAGAATGCTAATTCACAGTTAGCTCCGGGTACATCTAGATATCAGAACTTTTACTGATGGATTCAAGTAGGGTGATAGAAATGTGCCCTTAATTTTTTTTTCTAGAGGCAGAAAGTTGCTTCTAATTATATACATAGCTCAAGTGAAAAATACCTGAAAGATGATACACACATGCATAGATATATTTGTGTTATGTGATAAATGGTCTTGTTTGCACACTTCTGGACTTGAGAAGTCTGCATTTGTTTTGCACCTACTCTGAGTTTAGAACACAAATAAGAGGCCTTGTTAAATACACAGTGAACTTTTTTGTGAAACTGTTGCTAGCTTCACCTGTATGCCATTATTGCTCCAAATTAAATAACTGTTTAGGGTCAGAATATAAACGCTGGAATATACCTTTTATTACTGCTTAATCTAGGAGTCAAAGGTTTTACCACCTGGTAAATAATGTTGGACTTCAACTTGTTACTGACACATTTTAATAGTAGATGAAATCCGTTTTTCTTTGTTATGTGAATAAATGTACATTGTGCTCTTCAGACTTGTTGGATTGTATAGAGATTAAATAGTGATATGTATATTTTGCTGTTTGCTTTGCATTGCAACTCATGTAATTTCAGTGCTTTGACTAGCTTAAAACTTCAAACAAGTAATTTTACAATAAAGTTGGACTAATGTTTATCAAGAGTGATTATTTTAGGAGGGCCATATAATACTTGATACTCTCGAACCTAAACTCCCATTATTTATTTATTTTTTTATTTTACTTTAGGTTCTGGGATACATGTGCAGGTCATGCAGGGTTGTTGCATAGGTGAATACATAACCAGGTGGTTTGCTGCCTCTACTCCCCCTTCATTTATATCTGGCATTTCTCCCCATGTTATCCCTCCCCACCCTCTCCCCCCAAGCTGTCCTTCCCCTAGCCCCCCACCACGACCCCCAGTGTGTGATGCTCTTCTCCCTGAGTCCAGGTGTTCTCATTGTTCAACACCCACCTATGAGTGAGAACATGCGGTGTTTGGTTTTCTGTTCTTGTGTCAGTTTTCTGAGAATGATGGTTTCCAGGTTCATCCAAGTCCCTACAAAGGACATTAACTCATCATTTTTTATGGCTACATAGTATTCCATCGTGCATATGTGCCACATTTTCTTTGTCCAGTCTATCATTGATGGGCATTTGGGTTGGTTCCAGGTCTTTGCTATTGTACACAGGGCTTCAATGAACATATGTGTGCATGTGTCTTTATAATAGAATGATTTATAGTCCTTTGGGTATATACTCAATAATGGGATTGCTGGGTCCAACGGAATTTCTATTTCTAGATCCTTGAGAAATCACCACACTGTCTTCCACAATGGTTGAACTAATTTACACTCCCACCAGCAGTGTAAAAGTATTCCTATTTCTCTACATCCTCTCCAGCATCTGTTGTCTCTAGATTTTTTTAATTATTGCCATTCTAAGTGGCATGAGATGATACCTCAATGTGGTTTTTATTTGCATTTCTCTAATGACCAGTGATGATGAACATTTTTTCATATGTTTGTTGGCCTCACAGATGTCTTCTTTTGTAAAGTGTCTGTTCATGTTCTTTGCCCACTTTTGAATGGGTTTGTTTGCCTTTTTCTTGTATATCTGTTTTAGTCCTTTGTAGATTCTGGATATTAGCCCTTTGTCAGATGGTAAACTGCAAAAATTTGTTCCCATTCTGTTGGTTGTCAGTTTACTCGAATTATTGTTTCTTTTGCTGTACAGAAGCTCTGAAGTTTAATTAGATCCCATTTGTCTATCTTGGCTTTTGTTGTCATTGTTTTTGGTGTTTTAGTCATGAAGTCCTTGCCTATGCCTACCTCCTGGATGGTTTTGCCTAGGTTTTCTTCTAGAGTTTTTATGGTGTTAAGTTTTATGTTTAAATCTTTAATACATCTGGAGTTAATTTTAGTATAAGGTGATGGGAAGGGGTCCAGTTTCTGCTTTCTGCACATTGCTAACTCCCTTTTTACCTGCTACTAGTTGGGAAGAATTTCAACTTGTTTTCCATTATTACCTTTTGCTATCCCACCCTGCCCATTCTTCTGTGACATCCCCTCTTTTTTTACCTGTGTCTCCACTTACCTAGGCAAATCATAATTTAGATAGAAATCTGATTATTGGCTGGGTGTTGTGGTTCATGCATCTAATCCCAGCACTTTTGGAGGTTGAGGCAGGTGGATCACAAAGTCAAGAAACTGAGACCATCCTGACCAACATGGTGAAACCCCATCTCTACTGAAAATATAAACATTAGCTGGGCATGGTTGCATGCAACTGTAGTCTCATCTATTCGGGAGGCTGAGGCAGGAGAATTGCTTGAACCTGGAAAGTGGAGGTTGCAGTGAGTTGAGATCGTGCCACTGCACTCCAGCCTGGGGACAGAGTGAGACTCCATCTCAAAAAAAAAAAAAAAAAAGAAAAGAAAAAAAAGAAATCTGATTATTTCTAAAACCTCCTGGTCTAGGTATGTCATTCAGAAAAGGCTACATATGTTTGTGATAGCTAACAACCTCAAAATTACAGCACCATGAACTCCACAAAGGTTTGTATCTCACCTACAGCTCCTGCCCACTTCAAAGGGGAGCTCTGTTGCTATAATCACTCAGAGAATCAGGTGACAAAACAGCCACCATTATATGTGGCTGTTCCTCATGCTACAGGGAGAAAAAAACAGAGCATGGTGAATTACACAGAGCCTGTTAGAACTTCTATCTGGAGGCAAAACACATTCGCGAACACTTCTCCAGCTAACATAAATAATGTGGCTTTACTAACTTCCAAGGGGGCAGTTAAGTGCAATACTATGATATGTTAAGAAGAAAACTGAAACTAATTTGTAGACAACACTAATGATTGCCACTTTAGGTAAAAAAAAAAATTTCATTCTTGTCTTCCTAATAGCATTTAAACAGGAACAATTTTTAAAAAGTTGTTTTTAAAATTTAGGAATATCATGGCATAAGACATTTAGGACTCACTCTTTGTAAGTACTAACAAGCATGGTCTTATAATCTGTAAAGATAAGATAGGATAAATGCCACATATGCTGTTTATAACTAAAAGAAATTTTAGATCATTAAAAGTAGTATATCATTGAAAGAGGGAAATCTTTGTTCTTAAAAATCAGGCAATTGAAACATTTCTCTACAATACCAAGCATTGTTGCAGTATTATCTGAAATTGTTGTTTTTCTAATAAATGAGAATGACTAAAGTATTTTGCCTTTGCACTTTTAATTTCTTTATAATAGCATGTATTTACCATGGGATAAAGGCAATTCACTGAGTTCTATCAAATTATTGGAAAACTTGAAGTATAATTGCACTGGAACAAGATAAAACTGTACATTTCTTTTCTTTTGCTTTCTCCAAGTGGGAACAGTGCCTTCATTTTGAACTCAAACATGGCAGTACGTGAAGTAAGTCAGAAGCTTGGTAAAATTAAATCCTAGCAATCTTGAGATGTAGGTTCATATAAACCAAATGTTCTGTTCTAAGCTCCAACAGAAAGTTATTGCACAGAATTTTTGGCAGAGCTGTTTTTCTGCCTTGCATAAATGTCAACTTAAAGCAATATGATGAAGATATGACATGTGATTATGAGAAAGTAGTTTAAGGTTTTTATGCTGTCAGTCTCATATTTGCTAAAGTATATTTTCAGTAAACAATCTAGAGAGTTTATGAGAAAATCATAAATATTTCACTTTATATTTATCTTATAATAAAGAAGAGGCAGGATTATTGAAATATGAAGGAAGTATATCTTAAATTTGAAATGCACTTTAAATTTTAACAAGGATCTAAACTCAGTCTTAGTGTTTTATATTTAACTTTATTTGAATTATTTTTAATGCCTGATTTGTAAAACCCCAAATTAACAAAATGATTGTGTTGTTGTAGTGCTAACTTCTATATTAAACGAGGCAATCTTGTACTTGATTATAGTTATTTAATTTTAGTTTTAGAAAGTGATACAGTTCCACACGGCTAGGGAGCCTCGCAATCATGGAGGAAGGCAAGGAGGAACAAATCATGTCTTACTTGGATGGCAGCAGGCAAAGAGAGCTTGTGCAGGGAAACTGTCATTTTTAAAACCATCAGATCTGGTGAGACTCATTCACTATCATGAGAACAGCACAGGAAAGACCTGCTCCCATAATTCAATTGCTTCCCACCCAGTTCCTCCCAGAACACATGGGAACTGTGGGAGTTACAATTCAAGATGAGATTTGGATGGGGACACAGCCAAACCATAATATGAATGTATCATAATTTAAATAACAGTTTTCCTATGGATGGAGAATTGTTTTTGTTTCCAGTTATTCCTTCTTTCTTTTTCTTTTTCTTTTTTTTTTTTTTGAGATGGAGTCTTGCTCTGTCACCCAGGCTGGAGTGCAATGGCATGATCTTGCCTCACTGCAACCCCTGTCTCCCAGGTTTAAGTGATTCTCCTGCCTTAGCTTCCCAAGTAGCTAAGATTACAGGTGCCCACCACCATGCCCTCTATTTTTTTTTCTGTATTTTTAGTAGAGACAGAGTTTCACCATGTTGGCCAAGCTGATCTCAAATTCCTGACCTCAGGTGATCTGTCTGCCTCCCAAAGTGCTGGGATTGCAGATGTGAGCCACTGTGCCTGGCTACCTCTTTCAAATAATGCCATTTCAATATATATGTTCTTATATTTCTATCTTTGCAATTTGCAGAATCACCAGATTAGATATGCTCATTTTCAATGTTGATATGTACTGGCAAAATATGTATTGTGTAGTCCCATTCTCTTCTAAGAGAAAATATTTGATTCTTGATATCATCCATGGTGTATTTTAACAATCGATTTTTACCAGTTTAATTGGGTAAAATTAAGTCATATTGAAACCATACTTTATATTACTTGTGTTTTCCATTGCTAATGAAGTTGAGCATCTTTTCATACAATGGTTAGTCATTTACACCACTTCTGTGAATTTCCTGTGCTTGACTTTGTTCCATTTTTAATATATATATTTTTTTACTTGCAGGAGGACTGTGTATATTAAGGACATTAACCTTTTATTTTTTATATATGATATGGTTTGGCTGTGTCCCCACCCAAATCTCATCTTGAATTCCTACATGTTGTGGGAGGGACCCAGAGGGAGGTGACTGAATCATGGGGCAGGTCTTTCCCATGCTGTTCTCATGGTAGTGAACAAGTCTCAGGAGATCTGATGGTTTTAAAAATGAGAGTTTCCCTGCATAAGCTCTCTTTGTCTGCTGCCATCCACATAGGATGTAATTTGCTCCTCCTTGCCTTCCATCATGATTGTGAGGCCTCCCCAGCCATGTGGAACTGTAATTCCAATAAGCCTCTTTCTTTTGTAGATTGCTCAGTCTTAGGTATGTCTCTATCAGCAGTGTGAAAACGAACTAATACAGTATATGTTACAATTTCTTTTTCCAGGATGCTATTTTATTCTGCAGTGAGGGTGTTCTTTTTTTTCCTTATAAGAGTTTTAAAAATTTTTACAAAGCTTTAAGGGAGACTTTTATTTTGTAGATTCTTTGATTTATTTCTTGTTTATAAAACATTTATCTCTTCAAAGATTATGAATGTATCCCCTTTGTCATTTTCCACAAGTAGAGTTTTGTTTTATCTTTAGATTT